CCACTAGTCTATCATAATTGTTTATATTGGTTCGTTATCTGCACAGTTTTGGTACATTCGCAGTACTTCTTCATCATGCATTGGAACTGAATCTCAATAATATTTTAGATTTCTAAATGTATCGAAGTGATATGGTCATAGAATACGAAACGGTGGGTTACGTTTTTAATTTGTAATAAAGGGAGTTGTTTCCAGACGATTGTACCCGGTAGAAGGAGAAGTGATTTCTAGGTTCTACTGTCAACTGCCTTCAGAGCGTTGTACGTCGGGTAGTTTTCTTCATTCTTTCGAGTGCATGTGTATTTGTTAAGCAGTATGGCAGTTAAGCTATCTACCACTTAATTATTTTGTCAGTTAGTTTCAAAGTAATAACAGCTACTAAAATAAACAATGAGGACCATCTCACCTTTACTTTAAGATACAACGTAGACAAAAGTGTCTATCATGAGATTCAAAGGTTTTCTGTTTTACAAAATATGAAACTGGGATATGAATTTCTGAGAACTAGTTGTTTGATAATTTACGAATAATAAGTTTTTGATAACTGTAGCGTATTCAATATATTGCATACTTGCTTGTCTATTCGTGTTTGAATGAACTCAGGTATATTAGCCATATGTCTTAAAGTGCAACACAATTATTTACATCAATGGGTTAGGTTTCTCCTTTTTTCTGACACTATCAGACTTTTGAAGACGACCACAGAAAAACAAAATAATCAGGTAATGTTTATTATCTGCCAGCATTTTTAAGTTTCAGTATGATTTTTATAATTGTGGCCATCAGAAGCTAAATGTTCGACTGCAGGTATTTTCACGTCGTTAACAGTACTGATCTAAGCTTTCCTCATTAAAATTTTTTTCAGTAATGGCTGTCAGTGGTATTGACCGGTCAATAAAAATTATTGAACCTGATCCTAATGTATATCAGGAAGATGATGATGATGGTACTAGTTACGATGAAACATCAACTTTTCGAAAAATAGTGAAACAGCATGAAGAGGAAGCAAGTGAAGTATGTATCATATACAGTTATGTTCTAACTTTCCTTTTTACAGCATATTCACGAAAACGTGAAACTAAGTAATGACATCTCTTTTAATTGTTTTTATAACGCCACTTTTGTAGCCCTGTTGTCACTTGTATTTTTTTAGTGACCACTTGATACAGCTAGTCTCTCAGTTTCTCGATAACGCGGTAAGATAACAGAAGGTGTACTGCAATGTGAAAATATATTCAAAATACAAGGGCTTGAATATATTTACAATGACCAGACCTTCCTACATTTGAATATCCTATTGATTTTCGTCCCTTCCTTCAACCAATCTGATACTTTACACGTTGGTTCATATATTTTTCCCCAAACTTCTGAGCAAAACGATTGGTTACAGGCCTTAGAGATTTACGCAAATCATAGCAATTTCATTCCGCACTATAACAAGTAGTAAAATAGGAGTTATATGCATTGTATGAGAATTGGTTATAGTGCATAACTGCTCATTAAAGCAGGGTAGCTTAAGTCGGCTGTTTTAAGCATTAGGGTACACATTTTTGCCTGTTATGCCATGCCTGGTTGTGTTGTCACAAGTGGTTTGTCAGAAAATTATACTTTGATATCTTTAAGACTTATACATAAAATAATTGAATGTGTAAATGCATCGAGTTATCAGTATTCACTGTTAACAATTTTATATACGAACTAATAAAAATGGTTTATACTACCAGCGCATCATTGCAGTCTTACTGCCATCCAGCGATTGAACTAGGATGTCAGTACTGTAACACAGTAACGTATAGTTAATGGTCAAATGCCCATCCACACAGGACATTGCTATCTTATCAATCGTGATGTGCAGAAAAGCGTTCGATGAATAATAAATTTTACCGTTCATCGTCTGCTTTCAACAGCTTTGGTTATTCTCCTGTTGAAACCATCAAAACTGAATCGGTTAGAAATCAAGTAAAAGCTTCACTTTATTTGTATTATAGTCAAAATCCGTCTCACTGTTAATTTCATTTGCTTCATCTTGTGTATTTTATAAGCGTCTGATTTGTTGTTGTTACTAACATATCACAACTACAGGTTCTTTGAGAATGACTAATTTGATTTATTGGTGATATATTGCTCATGTTGTTGCTGGAGAAATGTCGACGAAGCGAAAAGCTTCCATTCCCTATTTACTAAGAACATTACGACCACACTGCAAGCAAATAACGTTGATACTCAGTAATTTCGAAATCTATCCTTGACAACCAATAAATGTGTAGCTGTACTTATCTTAAGATGTATGTTTAAAATATCATCTGGTTCCTCTCATTTCAAGCATGATTGTGTTCCTGTCTAGCGTCTACAGCTGTACAGTCATTGTATGAAATAGATGATGTTACCTTTTTTATTCTAGTATGATCATTTATGCTCACTTTAGCGACTGTAGCACATTGTTTCTTGTCGTCCTTCATAAATAACCTAGTCTGCATTCTGTGCCAAAGGTTTTCAACCTATATTCTTTTGCTAGAAAGCAGAATGATTTTTAATAAGCTTGTTTAACTGAAAGGTTTGACACGCTATCAGTATCCTTTTACGTTAGTCTAGTCCATATATCAATTTTGTTCATACCTGACTGGCTTTTGTACGGTGGTCTTTATTCAGACTATTGAGTATGATTCACTACTGTTGTATAGTATTTGCATTATTAGTATTCTGTAGGTTGATAATTGTGACCAAGCCAGGTGATCTTTATTATACTCGCACCTTATAGTCCAGCAGTACTTTTTCAATTATATGTGAATATTTGCCTTCACTCAAATTTTCTCTATCAACTCTTCATCTTTGTGCAGCTCATTTCAGCGTTTCTCCGCCTTCGAAATAAGTCCGTTTTATTTGCATCACTGCAGATTTTTAAACACCTATTTCATTGTTTGTTTTTTGTGTATTGTACAGTTGTGTCAAACCAATGAAATGAGAACAAAACAAATTTTAGTTTCTGGGAATAATCATTTGGATAGTATTGCTCGAATACGCACCGGTAGAGGTAGGTCTTTGGCTTTGTAATTTATTGTCGGTATTGGAAATAAAAAATTTTTCATTTCTTCAGATCTATCTACAACAACGATGAAATCATCACATTCTCAATCGACTGGATTCTTATTACACGTTGATTTGAGTATATTGTTTCGATGTAACAGAATGATTCATGGAAAAGTTATATCATAAGCATTTTAGTTGGAGTAGGATAAGATTTTGGTAACCAGGCCAGCGTATAAATTCTATCCGAAAAATCTCAGTAAATCAATACAGCAATAAGACCTGACATTACTGCATAGCGATTCAACTGACCACACTTCACAACAGCATATCTAGATATAAGTCAACAAGATCTAAGATTGCGATATATTTCTTTAAAATGTCACCAAATTTCATAGAAAATCATCAGAATTGAAATGGGCACAATAAAACAATTGTGAAATGCAATGTAACGTCTAGGATGAAGATAATATGTGGATGCATCTACACCACTGAAATAGATTAGGAATTATATAATTCGAAGATTGCGACCACTTCTTTTGGTTGTCATGTGGATCTAAACCGGGAAGTCTACATTTCTGCAAATGACTGAAACATAGCCAAATACTTCATAGACTGATACTTCGCTGTCATATGACTGCAATTGATCTTTTTACAGCCTGGACCTGTTTCAGCCAGCACTATGCTATTGAGCAGACAGTGAGTAAGCTGCGTAACACATGTCTTACCTCTGTAAATGGAGGTTAACACCCTCATTAACTGAAGTCCCGTTTCCTCTTAAGACTCCACACCTGACTACTGTATTACTGTGATACACTTTCTATGTTAAGAAAATGATGGTAGTTGAACACCTGAACCCCTTTCATTTCCTCAAACTCTCATAGTCAGATTTTACAGCCATATAGTAGAGCAGAGTGATCCGCAGCGCAGTACACTCAGCAGTCGGATATCTTGCAAGCGTCATAAAGACAGACAACATCAACATAGGACCAGGCATTGCCACGTAACGGTCAAAGTTGCCACACCTCATATCGGCACATCAAGCAATAAAGCACTAAAATGACAGATGAATAAACAAAGGAAGCAATGAAAAGTGGTTGAAAGTCCTAAAATGATGGCAAGAAAGACTAAAAGATCACTAACATTTAGTTTGACGAGTAAGATAATGTGTGGATACATGTGCGTCATTTAGATAGATTCCGAGCCAAATCCCCTAGAGTGTCCTCCATCCACTGGTTTGTGTTATCACGTGGACTACAACCGGTAAGTTTACAGTTCCCTAGATGGATCAAAGGTTTCATGGACTGATTCCTTGTCTTCATCCTGCCACCCCTAACCCTCTCATAGCCTAAACCTACTTCAGCCAGCATTGCATGTCGAGGCAGACGGTGACTAGGCCTGTAAAACACATGTCCCCACTACCTCAGTCGTTTAGTGTTTAAAATCTCATCATCTGACCTTTCTCTCCTCTTTAACACTCCACACCTCACTTCTACATTGTCAACATGGTGACACCACGACATACGGCCTATGATAGGAAGGTGACGGCGTTCAAATACCTGACATCTTTCCATATCTTCTCCTTTTAATGGCAATGTTTTACATCCACATACTGGAACAGAGCAAACTGCAGCGCAGTGCTCCCAACCATCAGTAGACAATCGAATATCATGGCAGTGCCATGAATTGATGAGAGTGAAGTGCGTCTTTTGTATCCGTGCAGAAACTTTGTCGACCACTGACCGAAAAGGGTGGGTCTGACTTCCCAATAAGATGAATTAGTCGATGTATTCAACCACTTCATTCTCTATTGTTAGATGAGACGCCAAGACAGACCAGTCCTTTAGAAACAATTCGCATCTCTGTGATGGCAAATGCATCCGAAACAGTCACGTGATGCTGGCGTCTTCACCTAGAATGACTACATTATCTGCTCACTTCAGATTTACTAAGGAGTGATGTGTGACAAGTTCAGCTTCTGTGAATTGAGAGAGAACTCCATTAGTGCATTTATGACTGAATTGAATGACATACATACATACACAATTCACTTTAAACCACATCGTAGAAGCTAGGCGGTTCACGGATGTTTGGATAGAGAACCTTCAGCAGAGTGGTATACCTGTGCAACGCTTCCTCTAGAGGCAGAAGAAGATGTCATCGTAAAATCTCTGGAACCAAGGAGTCAAATGTTCCTCGCAGATGTGGCTACTCTCATATTTCTTCTTATTATTACTTCTTATTTGGGTTCCTGGTGGAACATAGGGCTTCAGTAGCACGTCTCCATTCCACTCCCTTCTCTGTAGTCTTCTTAGCCTGGCTCCACAACTGCCCAAAAGCTTTCATTTCTCCCTCACACGGTCTCCTCCATGTCACCCTCGCCTCGGACGCCCAACTCGTTGTTTCCCCCTTGGCTTCCACTCGAGGGCCTGGCGTGGCTCGTGATGTCCCTAATCGGTCTTCTCAGTCAGTCAGTGCATGCCCAATCCATCTCCACTTTCTTCTTCTGCATATTGTTGGGCGATAGCTTCTTGGTTGGTTCGTTGACCGGCCAGAGTGAGTTCGTTGTTGCTTATTCTTATTATTCTGGCTATCTGATCGATATTCAGTATCGAGTGAGCGTAGGCGGCAGCTGTTGATGTGATGTGATGTATGTCTGTAGTTTGTTGGAAATGCTTTTCGTAACGCACCAAGTCTGTCAACCACCACTTATAAATACTGACTTGACTGCCATTGGTGTTGAAAATCCGGATCTTGTTCACGCTTCATGCTGAGTGGAGTGTAGTGGAGTGCAGTAGATCTCCACACTGATTTCAGATTAATGAAGGCCTGTCTTGTTGTCTTTCCGACCCTGATTTTGACGTCCCCGTCTGTGCTTGTGCCGCCACCTGTAGTTGAGACGATGCTGCCTAGTTAGGTGTAGATAGAAGAGACTACTTCCTTTAGATTTCTCCCGTTCATGGTGATTGGCGCTTGTTGTTGCTGTTTTTGTTGGTTGAATATCTCCACTACCTCTGTCTTCTCTACGTTCACCTGAAGGAAGTCCCATCTTCGCTGCCTCACCTCGCCTCGCCTCTTCTGCCAACTTGTTAGTTTTCGCCTGTAGGTCTTCGAGTTTATGCGACAAGACATTAGACGTGAATCATCATCGTCGAGGAAATCCATATCTTCCAGGGTCTTTTCACCGGTCCAGCCAGCGTATGCCCCTCTTCTCGCTCCTCACAGTTTGTTGCATGATCCAGTCCAGTCCAGTGGACCACAATCAGGAAGATGATCGATGATAGTAGGCGACAGCCTTGTCTTACTCCTTCCTGTCTTCACTTCAAAGGCGTCACTGAGCTTTCCATTGTGAATCACTTGGCACTTAGCATCATATAGCGTAGCATAGCACAGCATAGCATATAGCTGGTATTGAATGAGGTTGATAAAGGTTTGTGGCACTAAAACCGTAGTGTTGAAGCAGTTGCCTGCCAAATTACTTCTGGGTCGACGCTGTCGAAGGCCTTTTCAAAATCGATGAAGTTGAGGTAGAGTTGAGTTGACTGCCTTTCTATGCTCTGTTCTATGATGATGTGCAGTGTAGCGTTGCAGTGAAATTTGATCCGCACATGATTTGTTCTTCCCGTGGCCAACCAGCCAGCCCGTTCCGATCGTAATTTGAATCCAGCGCATTTGTAAGTCTCAGCAGGATGATGTGGCTTAATATTTTGCTTGGGTTGGACAGGTGGTGAAGCATGAATCCTCGCCAGCTCTTGCAAAGGCGTAGGTCGCCCTTCTTTGGAAGTGTGACAAGGTAGCTCTTCTTCCCATCAATCGGCAGGCAGGTACCTTTCCTGCCTTCCTTGCAAACCTCCTGCAGTATTGGTGTGGTGTGAGCATGTCTGCTGTTGTCTCTGCGTTTGGAGGAATTCCATCTGGCCGTGGTGCTTCCCTGGATTTCAGCAACTTTATGGCACTCACTTCTGCTTTTGTTGGAGGTTTTGTGTTCACTGATAGTTCTGTGGCTGGACTGCTGGTGGTATTTCTGGACGAGTTGCAGGTGTTGGTTGATTCAAGAGTTTTTTGAAGTGGTCAGCTCATTGTTGCCTTTGTTGCTCCTTTTTGGTAACTAGTTTTCCTTCACTATCTGTCATTGGTTTCATCTGCGTTGATCTCTTCCCTCCCAGATAGTAACCTGGTTATTTGATATGTTGTTGTCAGGTCTCTGTCTCTGCTACCAGCAGCCTGTTCTGCTTCAATTGCCAGTGTGTTGTAGAAGTGTCTCTAGTCTTTGCGCGCACTCTTCTTCACTTCTTTGTCCAGTGTAGTGAGTGTTTTGTAGGTTGTGTTCAGTTCCTTGCACTGCACTACATTGCACTGGTTCATCTTCTACCTCGCCATCTTCCTCTCCCTGCTCTATCAGCTTCCATGTGTCCGTGGAGATCCATTCCTTGTCTTGTCTTGCTTCTTCTTCCTTCCTGACACGGTTATGCAGGTTTCCTTCCACGTCTCTTTCAAAGGGTTCCAGTGTCCTTCCACGCAGTTTTCTTCATGGATGTTGCCTAATTTCTCTCATTTTTTCCTGATGACTGACTGACTGACATGAAGATGTCCTCATTAGTTTCGTCCGTCAGTTCAGTTTCTGTTCTGTGTGGTTGTTGAACTTGAACTGTGATCTGTCTGTCACCAACTTCTGTGATATGCTTCAACTTGATTTGGAAGGTAGGTTCCTTGCACTAGATAGTGAGTGGTGTGAACCACCTACATCTGCTCCCCTTCTTCATCTGATCTTGTGTTCAGTGGGCTGCGTCTCCACTTTCTTCACATTGAGATGAAGTTGATGTGATTTTTAGTGTGTCCTAGTGTCTGGTGAAATCCATGTCGCTACCTTGTGAATATCCTTGTGTTTGTACACACTGCCTCTAATCACCAAATCGTTGTTTGCTTAGAAGTCTGCAAACAATTCTCCATTCTCGTTCATTTCACTGAGTGCTTCTCCACCCTTGATGATTTCTCTTCCTGTGTTGG